TACACCAGTTACTGGTGGTTTTGGCACTGTGGGCAGGTGCCAGATCATGACTGGAAAATGAATTCCTCATCTCCATAGAGCTTTTCAGCAGACGGAAGCATGTAGTGCTCTAAAATCTCTTGGTACACAGCTGCATTTACTCTGGGCTTGATGAAACACAGTGGACCAACACCAGCAGCTGACATGGCTCCCCAAACCATCGCTGACTGTGGGAACTTCACACTGGATTTCAAGCAACTTGGATTTTGCTCCTCTCCAGCCTTTCTCCAGACTCTGGCGCCTTGACTTCCAAATGAAATACAAACCTTGCTTTTGTCTGGCAGTCTGAGTTTGGACCACTGTGCAACTGTCCAGTGCTTCTTTTCCTTAGCCCAAGTCAGACGCCTCTTCCGTTGTCTTGAGTTCAGAAGTGGCTTGACCATGGGAATACGGCTATTGTAGCCCATTTCCCGGACACGTCTGTGAACAGTGACTTTTGATACCTGGACTCCAGCTTCAGTCCACTGTCTTTGAAGCTCCCCCAAATTCTGGAAGCGACTCTTCTTCACAATGCTGTTAAGGCTGCGGTCATCTCTCTTGGTTGTGCAGCGTTTCCTGCCACATTTCCCCCTTCCAACAGACTTTTTGTGGATGTGCTTTGAAACTGCACTCTGTGAACAGCTTGCTCTTTGAGAAATTTCTTTTTGTGTCTTACCCTCCTGATGGAGGGTGTCAATGACGGTCCTCTGGACAGCAGTCAGATCAGCAGTCTTCCCCATACTTGTGATTTAGTTTACTGAACCAAGCTGAGTGTTTTTCAAGGCTCAGGAAACCCTTACAGGTGTTTCGAGTTAATTAGACGATTCAAGTGATTCGTTGAACACCCTACTAGTATACTTTTTCATGATATTCTAATATTTAGAGATAGGATATTTGAGTTTTCTTAAGCTGTATGCCATAATCAGCAATATTAAAATAATAAAAGGCTTGCAATATTTCAGTTGATTTGTAATGAATCCAGAATGTATGACATTTTTGTTTTTTTAATTGCATTACAGAAAATAAAGAACTTTATCACAATATTCTAATTTTCTGAGACAGTCCTGTATATCCACAAACCGTGACATTCACAAGGGGCTCAAAAACATTTTCAGAACAAGCTTACTATGTAAAACTCTTCTGCATAAACAGATTCTCATACGGACGAGTGTTTTAAAAAGTAAGGTTTAGCAGAAATGTACGTGTCACACCCATGTGATGATGGCTGGAAGACACCTATTATAAACAAATAATGAAAATAATAAACAACAGCTAAAAAAGCATTTTGGCTGTTACAAACATCATTGGTATTTTCCACGTGTGATTCACCTGAGTGGCACAGAGTGATCGCCTGACAGGCCAGATCATGGATGACCATTGGCAGGTCCGAGTCGTCAGGGAGCACCATGGGCACGTCCGCCTCCAGCATCTGGCATAACGTCCTGGCAGCGGTGAACAGAACCTTCCCTGTGTTGGTGTTATAGTGGTGCTCATACAGCTCACTGAAGACATGACAGAGGAGGGAAACATAAAAGGGTTTTTTCTAAATTCATTATTATAATTATTCGTTATATGCAGCTACATTGTAGATACGGCAACGGAAATCTTTAGTCCCACGCTCCTAACACAATACAGACCCTTGAGATCTTGTGCAACACACCTGTAATGTATATATATTTATTTTGTAATTCTACTGTGAAATAACCACAATCATTTTTATGTGCAAAACATAATTTTGATAGTATCTCAAACCTTAATATGTTAACCTATGTTTACCCAGGGTATATGCAGGAATCCTGAAGTCAGATGTAAAACCTTTTAAGACCTTTTTTAAGACCCTTTCCATACATTTTAAGACCTCATCGCCACTTCTAGTTTTAACCGGTTACATTGGTGACACACTTTACCTCACATTGACTATATACAGTATTGATTGTCCTTCCTCCTTATCTTCCAACCATTTGGACGCAAACTTGCATTTCCCCATAACGATGTTGTTTAACAACCGGCGTAAACGGACCTTCGTGCTATCAAGCAGTGAGCGTGCGATGTCCTGTTCAGATGACGTCAAATCCAACGGGATGCCATAAATAAACTACACAGAATCACACTACACACCTACGCAATGATTCCATTCAGGCAGACTGTAGAATACAACCTCTTTGGACCATTTATATACTTATTGAAAACAAGCTACAAAATGTAATACCTTGGAAAATGCTGTTTAATACTTTTTAATAGCCTTCATTTTCGCTAAATAGATTTATCAATTTTTAATACTTTTTAAGACCCCGCGGACCCCCTGTAACCTATTTAATGCTGCTACATATTGTTTAGCCAGGAATTAGTAGTTTTTTATCTTTATTATATATTTTTCTCTATATTTAACATGTTAGCTACTTTTGTATTGCTTGCCTTTTATCTGCTAGGTCACTTATCCCCGCTGCGGGACTAATAAAGGAATTCTGAATCCTCCAACAGTGCAACATAATGTATATAAGACATACAACTTTAAAACAATAAAATAGTGCAAGATTAACCTGCCAATGTGCAAGTAATGCAGATGAAGTAAACTTATATACATGTCAAAAATAAATACAATAAGCTAAATGTTACAGAGAAGGTTGTAAGTGAATGCAGGGGTCTATACACATGTAAATAGAAAGAGATAAGAACAGAATGTAAAATGAAATACTGTTTACCTTAGTAAATAAAAACATATTTAAAGAAGTTTTCACACACACAGCATCCACACGTGCAAACCTGAGGATCTTGAGGGCCTTGTGCACCTTGCCGACCCCCAGCGCGCGCAGGGCGAGGTCGGACCACAGCTCCTGCTCGGTGCGCTGCAGCTGCCGGCCCAGGCGACGCAGACCGGCCTCTGTGGAAATGGTCTTGGTCTTTCCATCGGGATCCTTCGCCACAACCGGAGTGGTCGTAGCCTTGGCTTTGGATGAAGGGCGGCCATGCGTGTTCTCATAGGCCGTGATGTGATGCTCCTGGATCTGCTTTCTGATGTTTGGATCCTCATAGTTGGAGGGGGTGAAGAAAACATCAAAGTCCTCCTGAGAAAAAAGACAGAGGTTGCAGCACCAGAGAAGATTAAAGAACAGATGGAACTCTGTTTGTGGATGTGCTTTTATTGTATTTGTTAATTAGCAAATGTAATTATATTCTTGGTCTGTACTTTAAACTGATTTCTAGGAACTGCACACTTTTTATTTTAGCATCATTTTGTAATCTGCCATATGTCTGATGTTGGGGAATGTTCGGTTGTGTTTGTGTAATGTGATAAATGTAAAAAATCTATAAATACATGTCTAAAAAATAAAATAAAAGAACAGACGGAATAACATTTACAATATAGTTAACCATTGGTGCAGAATTAATGATGTAAAACGAGATGTGCTTTTTTTTTTCAGACAAAGTCATGCAGTGCGAATACAAATAAACATAACTAAATGAGCGATAAGAGGGAGCCACCAGATAATTTGTAACACTTATGGTACAAGAGGAGCTGGATGATACATAGATAATAGACAGATAGCATAGAATTGGGAGGGATGAAACCCTCTAATGGTCTCACATGCAGAGCACACAGCACACAGTGAAAGTTGTTCTCTGCTTTTAACCCATCCTAGTACCAGGAGTCTAGTACTAGGAGCATTGGGCAGCTATTGTACAGCGCCCGGGGAGCAATGGGAGTGGGGGGGGGAAGGGGGGTGTCCGGTGCCTTGCTCAAGGGCACCACAGCAGGGCAGGAAGTGAACTGGGACCTCTCCAAGTAGCAGTCCACACTCCATATTTTAGGTTTGGTCGGGTACTTGAATCGGTGACCCTACAGCTCACAGTCCAAGC